AAAATACTGCCCAGAGAAGGTCCTTGTCAACAAGGAGAAAAGTGATAACGCTTCCTGGCCTATTACCAGACCAAGTGAGCAGTTAACCTGGTTTTGCCACACATGCAGCCTTTTGATAAATTATTTGGTGTGTTGATCTGACTATTTTATTACCATACAAACGAGTAAACTCGAGCTGTTCCGAGGTTATGCGTTGCTTTCAGAGTTTTGAATTTGTTTTTCACATGCGGGGAGATAACTACAGGGGGAATAAAAGATTATTCATAGAGCGTCTGTCTATAAACCATTCTGGTTATCGCTGTCGTCTATCTTGTATTCACACGAGGTTCCTATCTCAGATACATCCTGCAGTAAATGCCTTGAATCATATGCCTCCTTTAACTTGGCAACCCCTTTAGGATGAACAGGCAAGTGCATTAAGCAGAGATGCCGCACCATTCTCCAAAAAATGCAAATTGGGAAGTTGTTAGTTATTTGATGTTGCTGCACGATCCACCCCCCGCCCCCGAAACATCCCTCCACTCCAGTGTTGGTGGTTGAATCGCATGCAGTCCTGAGGACAGGCAGGGCTGTTTATATGCAGGCCTGGAGCAGCAAAGACAGCACAGAGACAGATGCATGTCAGAGATAGCAGATCCCATCTCAGGCAGATGCCTCTTATCACAGGCCTGTTTGCATAATTAGGCCTTTTGATATTCACCCCCTCTGACTGACAAAAAGTATAATTGCGGTATCAAGTACGACAAAAGGTAGGCACAAAATAAACAAGTCAACATAAATAGGGAGAAAAGATGTGGTGTTATTTTTGTCCTGTGGGAAAAAAGAGGGAGGAAAAAACACCATTTTTAACTAAATCTGCTGTCAGTCACAGTCAACTGGTGTGACTCGGTGCTCACAGGCTGGTCCTGTGAATGCCTGCAAAACAGAGAGCGTGAGGCCTGATTGTAATTATGCTGGAACTAATATGCTTTTCAAAATGAGCCATTATGAGCTAATGCTGCACTGCCAAAGCCCTGTCTGTTTTTGTCCCTCTGTCTTGGATAGTTTGCAAAGGTATGGCTGATATTGAGGCCATGGGTTATGATATCAGAGACAGCCTGACTAGGATGAGTGCCACTTTACTTGATGCTAATACTGCTGACAGGTGAGATAGGGGATAAAGCACCTGCACTGCTGCAAAACCATGATTTTTTTCCTTTTTTTATGATTTTGAAAGTAAAGTTTTAATCTTCCGGTAAAATGGTCTTTTGTTTTTGCATTGTAATTCCTTCCCCAAAGTATTATTTTATTTATATATTTTACTTCTAAATAAAAGCTCTAAAATAGTTTTATTTATCAGTCCCGAGCTATCTTTTTCTTGCGCTTTTTAGCACCAACTAAACGTATCAGATGCACAAATTTGGCCAGGATTTTTAAATGCCGGGCGGGCGTGAAGTTTATTGGTAGGGTGACGTATCGTAAACCTGTAACCCCTCAGATCATGTGGTTAATTGTGCGGATTGATTGGACAGCTGTCCGTTTAATCAGGATTACTTCAGTGTCTCGGGGGTAAAGGTGGAGGACCGGAGGAGTCCGAGGGTTTGGAGGGAGAATGCGAGGAGCCCTGGAGGAGTAGGTGGGGAGGGGGTCGACATGAGGACGAGTTTTGAGGAAACGGGGTGATGAGGATCCCATCTGCCTGTGTTCTGTCTGCAAGGTCAGCAGAGGAGCATCAAGCAAGAGAGCAGGCTTTAAACCTCACAGTAACCTTAAAACTATTAACTAGCAGCTCGAGTCCTTCAAGACCAAGAGGAATGTGCTATCTAAAAGGTCTGCTCAGAATTAAAGCATCGCTGACGCAAAGTCACGCTGAGGTGAAAGGATGTGGTTCTTCACATCTGTAAGCTTCACGTGTACTATAGACCCCACCCCCACCCATCACCACCCATCACTTATTTTACTATACTAACAATAGTTCATATAATAAAAGCAAAACTCTACAAAGCAACAAACCCACATTAAAACCTTAACGAAAAATTGTTAAATACTAAATATAATAAATATGTTTGTTCTAAATAGACCTCCTATTGAATGATATAGATATGGATGTGAAACATCTCAAGAAAAAAAATACAAATATGTGTTTTTTGATGGCTTTTCAAAATAAATATATCTTAAATAAATCTTAAAAATATCATAAATAAAATCTGATTAATTTTCCCAGTTGGTAAAATACTAACTGCAAAACAGAATAATAGAAATAGGTGTATATAAAATGTATGCAGCTGATCTGCACAGTAGTATGGATGTGTTTACTTGTATCACTGACTTTTTGCCTTCTTAAACTTATCAGATCAGTCATATTTTGGGACTGTAACTTGTAATATTGTAGATCAGTGTTGTATTATCTTCAAGTTGGTCCTTAAACCCGTCTGTGCAATAACCATCTCGTTTAACCAGTGCTAATTTGAATCTTTATCAGGTATTTACTTTGACAAAGCAGAGTGCAAACCTGATTAATTCCTGTTTATTATGGGGCACAATTTTAAATCAATGTTGAGGGAAAACCTCAGAGGGCCCCTGGAGGAGAGTACACGACACTAATCGTGCCCACTGGATGCCACATAATTAGATTCTAATTGCACAATAAGCAATGAGACAAGGCATGAGTGGTTTATCAATATCCCACGAACATTTGAATGGAAATTACAGCAGTCGTATTATATAAAGGTCTAATCAGAATGTACCTTTTTTGTGCCGAACAGACCATTAAGGAATTGACCTTGACAGCCCTGCAGGGATTTTGTTCAGTCGTATTTTGTCTTTGTCTGTTCACCTTGGCAAATAAGTGAGGAGAAAAAGGAGACATGAAATTTTGATTTTAAAGTGTTTTGTATCGAAGACAGCTGAAGACGTGGCTGTTTTCTCTGTATGTACTTGTGTGTGCGTGCATGCGTGCTTGTGTTTAACTGGCATATATTCAGACCACGTTTTAATTCCTCCGCTCTTTGGATAGACTTGTCCTTTATTGCAACTCCGCTGCAATCAGCGGCGGGCTCTCTCTCACCCAAATATAGTCAGCATATAGATGAGTTTCACATCCAACCCCGTTCCCAGTTGGCTCCATACAGCGTGTGCCGTGTTCCATTTTTCCTTACTCATTACAGGCAGGGCCGCTGACCTCGTGCTTCTGGTTCATGTACGAGAGCAGATGTGTTGGCTCTGCGGGGCTTAATGACGAGCAGAAGTACAAGCTATTGTCTGCTGAGGTGCTTAGGCGTCATTTGCCTGCTAATGGGTGCTAAATGTGACAAAGATTGCCACATCAGCTTAGCGACAAAATAAAGTCAGTGGGAAAAAAAAACCCACCTCGAACAAAGGGGAGGACAAGAAAATCGGTTGAGGAGGAGAAGACTTTGGTGTCTTTTTCCGAACCCCTTGAGAATGTGTCGGCTGTGGCCCCGGCGTCTCCCTGTAGGACACAGAGGTGACTTTGGAAAGTGATCCGCAGACCGCTGGGCTGGTCTCAAGTGTCGTCATGGCAAGTTATTGCCCAAATGGATGTACGCATCCTCATGAAAACCAACAAAGGGATATGTGGTGTATGTACATATTCAACTTTGTATGTTCAAGGGTGTTCTGCAGCAGAGTGAGCTTGTGCTTCAAGAATCAATCTTTATTAAAAAGGATAAGACTGAAGAATTGATTTAATGAATGCGGCCTCATGTCCTGCGGACACATGTAATCCGCAGAGAATCATTGAGCATGAGCTCAGGGGGACAAAAAATGTTCGTAGAAGACTCATAGAGTGGCCTGTAATGATAGTCTCCATATAATCCCATAATTCCTTGTTTAATTAAACTCTGGAGCTGGCCTTGAGACTCCGCCAGCTCTGTTGCTCTTTTGTTCTCACAGTTGTTATTTGGAGGCCAGGTCTGAGTATTCTTTTGTCCACTTATGTTGAAAGATTTGACTAGAGTGAGCTACGAGCGGAGATTGGAGCTGTAAAACAACAAATCAGTCGCAGGCGAGACACTCAGGTGAGCAGCATAGTTTTTCATTCGAGCTGAATGGCAAAGGGCCTCTGTCAGAGGCGGAAATCTCTTCATGCACCCTCTTCTTCAGTATCTCTCTTTATTTTCCCTCTCCCACACTTTCTGGACTGTGCGTGATGCAATCCAACTAGGCCTGGAGCAACACTGGCACATCACGCAGCCTTGTCAATGTCTCAATGAGGAAATTATGAAAATATGAATTTTATGACATGAAATGAAAAGGGCCATGTAGTTTGAATAGACATGCAGAGGAGGTGAAAATGATGCAATTTTCTAAATTCAGTTATAATGGTAATGTGCAATGGTAATGCATATTTGCTGTCAAAAATTTCCCTGTCGGCCTGGATTGTACGGCTTTGTGCTGTATCTATATTCCTCGAGCAAAAATTCAGCTTAGTTGAATGCCTAAAAAGTAATGTAAAATGTGTTCTAATTCATTTAATGACAGCAGATGGAAACACATGGGACTGAATGGTTTTGGTGTGATATTGTGTTCTATTTTATACGTTTTGGCTGCACTGTGTATGAGCAGTGTGCCCTGGGCCAATGACAGAGAAAAGCAGGGTGAGGAGCAGCAAGGTGGCCTGTGCAGATTAACCCCTCTACCCACCAACACCCCACTCCCCCTCAGCTCTCTGCATTCACAGCCTCTGGGGCCCCTCTCAGAGGCAGGATTGTATATCAGGGGCTCTTCTATATTAAATAAATATCCACAGATTAAGATAATATTCTCCCAGTTGTATACTGAGAGAAAAGTAGCTGTCATTTGAATCCACTGTGTTGCCAGTCCCCCACTCTTGAGACTACAAAAGAGGCTCTTTTAGAATCCATTTAATGCTGAGTTTATGATAAGTTTCAACCCATATTTGCGGCTATTTTCCCCCCTCACTACTCAGTATATTCACATAAAAGGCTTCTTAGCTTGTTTTCATTTAGTGGCCCTCTGTCCTTTCCTTTTCCCCTCAGGTAACCGGACAGATGATGGTTCAGATGTCGATTCTGAGCCCGACTTGCCTCTTAAAAGGAAGCAGAGGCGCAGCCGCACCACTTTCACCGCCGAGCAGCTGGAAGAGCTGGAGAAGGCTTTCGAAAGGACGCATTATCCTGACATCTACACCAGAGAGGAGCTGGCTCAGAGGACGAAACTTACAGAGGCCAGAGTACAGGTTAGACAAGCAGTACCAGTACTCGGACTGATAAGCATGCACACTGTGATGTAGTCAGACTGCATGAAAACGCATTTCTGCTGGTGCTTGGCTGTGAAGTTTGGATCATTTTGAGACCCCTTTGTCTGAGACATCAGTACACAGCAAACATCGCTTTCCAGTTAGCTCTGAGAACATGCAGCAAACCTTGTTACACTGTGTTTAGTAAAAAAAAAAATGAAAGAGTTCCAGTGATTTTTGATGCTGCAAACATCCACCTATGAAATCTTAAAGGTTAATTTACATGAAAAATTAGCAGCACAGTGCTCAGTAGTTTATTTGTAATTTAGGTACATTGCTCCTTTAAGAAGCGCATGTGTAATTGAGGTTTAGCTATGCTTTGTGCAAAAAACCCATCAGTGCTGAAAATCACTGAGGCCTAGCTCATACAGAAGACTTAAGGGATTCTGTGTTGCATAAATGCTAACATCTAACTAAAGCAACAACTAAAGATACTGCAAAGAGCAATATCTTTTTCCCAAAACCTAACATTTGCCTTCTTTTACCCATGGTACTGGTGTACACATCCATCAGGGCCATATTGCCCCTTTTTGTCATACTTCACTGTTGCATGTAAGGAAGCTTGCTGTCTACCATTATCTTTCATGTTCAAGTACTTTGACAGAGATACTCCCCTCCTTCGCACCTCAGATCCGGGGACCTGTCCTACAGCCTGAGTGCCCTGCAGTTGTATGTAAGCTTGAAGAAAGATATGTACAGTAGAGTTATAGCAGCAGCTGTTCTACCAAAGACTGAGGGAGAGAGAAAAAAAGGGAGAGGAGAGAAAGGGAATGCATTCCTGATGGATTTCTCATTTCGGCCTTTGGCCAGGATCTCATCCCATCACTTTCAAGCTCGCCGCTGCTTGTAAAACCCACCACATATCACACAGGGCTCTTCAGCCTCTCTGGGGACCCTATGCTCCGACAACAACATTAATCAATCAACTGCTAGTAAAAAAGAAAAAGGGTCTGGGGCACCCCTCTCCTCTTACCACAGTCATTCACACTACCCTAACCCCTCCAACTCCTCACTGCATGCTAACTGTGCATCACACTCCAAACATGCAATTGGGTAACTGATTCCACACATGTCTTTGTCCATCTTGAAACCCCCCAACAAGGATGTCCAATATGTCTGAGTGTGTAATGCCTCACTCAGGGAAAGAGAAATGTATCTCACCGCTGTTACAAGGCAATATATTTGAGGGGGGTTTCTTTTAAAAGTGTAAGAAGCGAGTCAAGACAAGATAGTTATTTTATTGATTTAAAAATAGCATTCAATTTTGCATTTTGATCGGACAAATATAGCCACACAAAGTAAGCAAACCTTATGACAGAGGTGATATAAGTATATACATCTTTGTAGTGCACTTCAAAGTCATCAGGGAGCGTGGTCCCTCTTTGGGTTTAAAAGAAAAATTCAAGCGTGACTTAATGTGTATCTCATGTAAACATGAGAGCAGGAGAAAAAGAACATGAAGCGACTGCTGCCTCTCTGCTGTTAGATAATAGACTTAAATGATGTCATGTGAAAACCTGAGGAATTTGAGACATGGCTATAATTTGTTAATGCTGTTTTGCTCATAATCTAATTCTTTAAGGCTTTGAAAGTCTCAAAAGGTCAACTTAAACTTAATTTTCTGAGAAGGTTACAAAGAAAGGGACTCTGGTAGCCAAAATATATTAATGCCCAAAGTTGCCCTACAGTGTGACGAGCATGTTTCAAGGATTGTGGTTCTAAGAATTTTCTGATAGTTTTATCTCTGTGTTTCCCCAAATATATCTCGGGGTTTGTTCTTAATGACTACTGGAGATGCCACATAAACATTTCAGTATTTAAACAGTGAGAGAGAATAGAAGCTAAATATGAAAGGATGTTGTTTAAATGTAAATTTGCCAGCTTGTGCATGTGAGTGCTATTTGCATCACTTGGTTCGGGAAATTTCCACCAGCTGGGCTTACATATAGGTGCCCAAATGGCCCATCACAGGGCAGAAGAGAGGAGACCCTTTGGCCTGAGAGAAAAGCCTCTCCAGCACAGCTGCAATGACGTATCTTCCAGATGTCGTTCAGAGACTTAACCGGTGTTTGGGGCTGAGAAACTGTCCGTAGGAAGGGGGGTGTTGGAGGAGGCTCATAGACTCATATTTTAACTCGTATGTGTGTCAGCTGTCACGGCTCGCTGTTATCCATTTGTCATTAAACACAGCGATAATGTGAAAAGCAGTTTTTAGGTTCGGTGCAGAGGTAAAAGCACTCGTGCGGCAAGCACCTCTGCAAACATGGCCGCGCTGGCGCTCAGCAGCCAGAGCTCAAAGCCGTGTTGTAAATTAAACCGCTTGATTCTCGCTGAAGTGATGAGTGTTTGGCTTAGCGCTGACTCACAACCCAAACTCGTAAACAGAGCTAACTCCCTTGTGTCTGCCCTCGCCTGCCATTTTAAGACCCCTTCACCATCTATCTTTATCAACCTCGCTGCCCCTTTCAGCAGAGCTACCAGCACTCCCTTACCACCCCGAGCCCTGCAGTGGTTTTATCACCCCAACTGACAAATTGTGGGATATGATCCATATCTCTCAGCAATTAGTTCCAGCCTGTCTCAGTAGGAGGGGACACTGCCAAGTCTACCTTCACTATATCCTCCACTGATGCAGTATGCTCTGCCACTTTCCATCTGATAACCCCTCAGTTTTAACAGGAGCAGGCAGCAAAGCCATTCCAGGAGAGCAGCGCTTGTGTTTGCTCCCTGTGTTGAGGAGTGGACCAGGATGGGGAGAGCTGCGCAGGCCTCCGTAAATCAGCTCTAGCAAATGAAGCAAATTACATTCCCCTCTATTTAGACTGAAGTTTCCAAAGAGACTGACTCCAGAGTGTCGGCTGAGGCTCATCATCTCAGCGTGCGGCTGCTGGCTAGCTTTCCCGAATCTGTCACATAGGTCCCCTTTCATTACCAATAAACATTCTGCATGTAGCTATTATAGGTAGTGGAATCTAATAAGGTATAAGCATTGCTTTTACGAAGTGTGCAAATCAATTTGGTAAAAAGTTTCTCTCTTTATCTGTGGCTCACGCTGACCTGGTGGTGCATGCAGCGAGCAACAGGGAAACAGGCCTCGGTGGAGTCTGTGTGCCGGGCCGGCCTCTGCATCTGTACGTCACAGAGCAGTGTAGCTGAATTCAGACTAATGCTGATTCAAACGTTCCAAATAGCTGGTGAAAATATAATCTTAATGTCAAAAGGTGATACACAGTTCCCTGACTTTTAGGTCGTCATTGAGTTTCAGCAGAAAAGGCACGATGGATCGATTGTTGCCACAAAATCCAACGGGCAACTACATTCCCGCCAGTACGGGTTTATTTTTCATAAAGGAATAAATAGGATTTGTGTAGATTGTACGGGAGAAATTGTTGCAATGCATCAGTGTGAATGTTCTAACAGTTTCTTATTATTAGAATTTAAATGACTTTGGTACAGTGCTTCTGTACTCCTGATACTTATCAAGCTAATCCCACTCTCCTCACAAATTCACACTCCTAGCTACTTTAATTAGCATAGTGCCAGTCTGGAAGGCAGGCAGGGAGGGAATGAGAGAGCGGGAAGTGGGGAGTGGGGGGTGAAGAAGAAGAAGAGGGGAAGGCGAGAGGAGGGGAGGTGTGAGGGAGGAGGTGAGGGGGGTATTGCGTGGTGTGAGACAGAAGAGGATTTGTGTGTTGAAGCTGGTTGCATCACCCCTCTGTGTTTTCTGTGGATATGAAGTCAGCAGCACATTTTGTTTTGTCATTATCTCGGCTCTTGGTATTCATCTACCGAATGGTGCAAATTGGCTCCTGAAAGGCGTCACACATTCAGTACTTGTCTTTGACAAAATAATTCATGGAGGATTGTATAAATGGAGAATCCTGAAATATGAGTGATCCTATTTAAGAGAAACAACACTGACAGGTTTTTACTGCAGTGCAGTGTCACGCCTTTACAGTGTTAGTGTGAGTGTGCGCGCGCGTGTGTCATCACCGATCGGCGATAAGAAAACGCCAAATGCCACTTGATCGCTGGGAGTCGATTCTGCTGGCTGAGGGTGAATGGAAGATTACATGCAGCGAAGAGATGCATGCAGCTAAACACAGACACGAGACTTAAACTGTCCTGCTCCTTGTCGTATTTGCAGGGGTTTTTTGTTTTTTGTTTGAGGTGTTTCAGGTTTGCATCTACGGCCTCTACTCTGGTTGCACTTGACAACAATCTTCACTCCCAATGTTGAGTTTTAGGTCTCCTCTTTTCGCCCTTCCTCCCAAAACTTCCTCCATAAAGATCCAGAGCTGCTGTGCAGGCCTATCCAAGTGCACTAGATGCAAAAAACAGTTTAGTACGTGAAAAACAAAGCACAAGTGAGCCATTGGAATTCAACTGCACATTTGTAGGTAGATAGGGAGTCATGGAGAAGTGCTGCAGCTCTCTGTACTGCAGAGAATTAAACCGGATTGGGGATAGCAGAGGAGAATCTGTGGTCCAAGGTGACTTTGTGATCAGGTTCCAGAGCGCAGCCTCAAATCCTCAGCTTCAGGCTGTGTGTTAGTCAGTGTGAGAGTGGATGTGTGCATGTATAAGACTGTGCAAGTAATGTATGCATGTGTGTGATAGTGTACAGGCTCTTGAATACATGTTTATCCCAGTCTGTGCTAAGAGCCCAGTGATTGCTGGAGAAAGCCATTCAGTCTGTGATGCATGCTCATCTTCCGTCCAATATGTTAAACATTGCATCCACTGTTTGTGCATGTTGACAGAGCTGCAGCCTGTATGGTAGTCTGCAAAACTTTCACTGTTGAAATTCTCAGAGTACTGCAGATTTCAATAAATCATGATGATATTCCAGAGTTTTCTCTGTGTGAGACTTTCCAGCAGCTGGAACAAGATGAGAAATGATTGAGATCAGACCCCTGTGCCGCAGAAATAGCTTTTCCATAGTAGCATGATAGATGAAATGTATATACTAAATTATTTAACTGAACATTTGCACTAAACTAAATTTGCACAAACTTTGTATGTCAGATGTTTTCAACAAATGTTCACAATTAGGACAAAATAGGTTTAATAAAAAAAAAAGTAGTTTGAAGTAAAATATATAAATATATAGGCAAAGTTAACAATAGGAGGCTGTGAATATGTATCTGTGAAAAGGAAAATGGTGAAAGCAAAAAGTGACTTCAGTGTTTTAAGCGTTTTTGTGGCTACCATGATGGAACAGCTCCTTCCTAAGCTCAGATGACAAAGGGAGAAGGAAGTTAAAGTGAACATAAAAGACGAGTGGGGTGAGTCGATGAGGTCGGAGGTGAAGTGGCACTGCGGGGTGGGGTGAACGGGAGTGTGTGGAAGGAAGGGGTGTACCCCCCCGTGTCCTCCTCCCCTGAGCCTAGGCAGCTGTTTGTCTGGCCCAGTTGGAGCTTAGTTCAGACTTTGGACCACGCTCCACTACATCCCAATAGCAGAAATTTCCCGAAAGCCACACACACCACATTTGTTTTGGAATTGCTGATTGAGGGATTCAGACGTAGTCTTCAGGAGCAATCGGGCTTGAGATAAAGATTTCCTGTTGGTTTTCCACCTGCATAATTGAGGTTTGCCCTTTTCTCAAGTACCGACACAGTCATCGCCTGTTGCATCTTATTTTCTTTCTCCTAAGCACTCGCTACTAAACTGAGTAATAGTCAAAATAAAAGAAAGGAAAAGAAAAGAAAAACACCAGAGGCAGTGAATGTGTTTGAAAAGAAGCACATTCAAATTAAGATCTCCGACGGGCTGAGATCCCTTGTAGCCTCTACAAGTTTATATATGTTTGTGTGTACAAAAAGAGGCAGCCCCCAAAAAGCAGTGAGTATGTCGCTGTGTAAGTCCCCTTGAAAGTGTCCCTCTTTAAGACCTGTTTAAAAGGGACGCCCCCTCTTTGTGTCCACTGTTCTCTGTGGCGTATGGAGGGGCTTTTGTCCCCTTCTTTCATGTGTTCTCACAATAGCCCTGGCCGTTTGAAACACAACAGTAGATGAACTGCGCTGACAGTGTATTAAACTCTGATGAATTGCCTGTGCGAGGCATAGATCAATGTCCTTCAACCCTTAGCACACAGTGAAACCCGGGCCTTGTCTTGGTTAAATGGAACAGGTTGCAGGATCTTTTCAAAAGGGCTTGATTATATTCATGTTTTGTTGAAGCAGAAGCCTTTTTAAAGTGTGTAAATCTTTGCCGTTCCAGAGGGTCCGATTTTTCCCCCCCTTTCATTCAGGGAAGTGACATTGTCTGTCTGCGCTTCAGTAGCGCTGCTCATTTTGCGAGCATTTTTGCTGTTTGTAGCCTTAGAACTTCGCGTTTCGACTCTGAAGTTAAAACCTGTTTTTTTCCCCTTTAAAAACAACCACACAGCCACACTGAAACAGAACAATAGCTATGAACAAGTTAACTGTGCTTCCAGAAATGGGGAAAATGGGCCTCCCTCAAAGCATGCAGCAGCTTCGCAAACATACTCGAGGTGTGTGATGCGGAGCTTAGTGACCTACTTCTGACCTTTAAACGACTCCTTCCTTCTGAAGTGGACTTAGGGCAGCCTGTTTACATAGATCACAGCCTCAACCACTTAAGAAAGACAGGGACCACACTACTGAGCTCCTACAGCACCAGCAACAACACTCACGCCAACCAGCAGATTAATTGCAGGTGGCAGGAGCCGGCAGACTCCACTGAGAGTCTAAACAGACTCTTGTTAAAAACAGACGACGCTGAAAACAACAGCTGAAAATGAATCAAATCAAATCCTGTGAGCCATTTGGATTCATGCCTTTTACAATATCTGGTTTATTCCCGCAGGTCTGGTTCAGCAACAGGCGGGCTCGGTGGCGCAAACAGGCCGGGGCCAATCAGCTAGCTGCCTTCAACCACCTTCTTCCTGGAGGATTCCCACCCACGGGGATGCCAACTTTACCCACATACCAGCTACCAGAGTCCAGCTACCCCAGCACCACACTATCGCAGGGTGAGGTTGACACAGCATCCAGCCAAAATATACTCTATGTTCTGTTCTCGGAGTGTAATCAAATTTAGGTAAATATTGCATTAGTCCTGCTTATTTGTGGTATGCCATCCATATTTTTTGTGGTAATAGTGTCATAAATTATGTCTGAATCATGTGCAGCATATAAGAACCATGCAGCGAGCAGTTATCTTTACAATCACATCTTTGTCACAGTGGGACAAAAATAAGGGTTGTATTATGAGCAAAGGTCATTTCTGTCCTTTACGCTTTTCCTTTGTAAAGCTGCATTTCTACGTGCCAAAGAATACACTGGCAGGACACTTAATGTGTGACTTATGACTGACTGAGCTCAAACTGTGAGGCCTCTGTGAGGATTCCCGGTGGGCCTCAGCCCAGATTTTAAGAAAATTTTAAGAAATTTCCCTGATTTGTTCTCACCTGTGCTCATGTGTTGTTGTTTTTTATGTCAGAGGGCAGCAGTACATTGCACAGGCCCCAACCCTTGCCTCCATCCTCCATGCATCAGGGAGGTCTGAGTGCTGACAGCAGCTCTGCTTACGGTCTGTCGTCCAATCGCCACAGCTTCTCCAGCTACTCTGACACATTCATGAGCCCCTCAGCATCCAGCAACCACATGAACCCCGTTGGCAACGGGCTCTCCCCGCAGGTCAGTCCAGTGAACTTTCATCACTTGTCTGCATATTCCCACATAGGTGGCGTTCACACTCTTTAGTGTACCAAAGTCCCTCCTCCCCCTCCTCTTCTCACACTTCAGAATGTGTAATTGTATTTGACTGCAAATTAAAATTCAGAAACAGCGTGTTCAGCAAAATAACTGCCAGTGTGGGCTTTTATGTTCATGTTCCAAAGCCCTGGATTTATTTTAGCTACTCTAAATTGCTACATTTGTAAAACAATTGGATTAACATCAACAAATTAAAATTCATCTTGATAGCACCGCAAGTACTCAAGCTGCTCCAAACAGCGGTTTCGACTTTCCTGGGACATCTAAATCCTGCACAGCACAGAGAGAGAACACATGCAGATGAAATAATTAGCTAAAGCTTATAAATGTATACCCATAATCTTCTTCATGTAATTGTCTGCAGCTGGAGGACTCCAGTGCTATGTGTGATTTTGTTCATGTCTTTACGACGTGATTTACAAGCATCTCTGAGCAGGGTTGCACATGCTTCCCTGTAAGTTCACCTTGCTGCTCACTTTACCTCCTTTTTTAATATTACGGGGACCACCTTGGGTTTCCCTTTGAAATAAAAAAGGACCATCCCCACCCATTCTCCTTTTGCCATCTCAAAGCACGCGGCTATATGTGCACATTTGTTTGCCTTCTTCTCTCTAAATTGCTGGATTTCAGATGTTTAACCTCTTTGGACTCCTCCATTAATGAGCGTTTAAATAGGACTCTGTGGTAAGGGTTGAGCTTTAAGTAGCAGAGAATGAAAAATGATTTGTATTGATGCAAATCGTGTGTACGGAGTGAATTATACACAATTACCCATCAATACTGGCCAGTCTTGCCCACCCTCACCAACAAGATGTGGTTAACAGGCAGAAAATAAGATTGAAATGGTGTGTAAAGAGTTGAAAATGAATTTCAATGCTGCATTTGTCCACAATTACCCCGTCGTTCACACGTGTTTTATTGGGAGTTTTTTTTTTTTTCTTTTTTTTTTCTTCAAATATTTCTCAAAGCAGATTGGAAACATTCTTGGTATTACCCTCTTTCTTCAGAGAAGAAAGAATTAAGGATTTTGTGACAAAAAAGAGATTTTCTCTCCTTCTGGAGCGACGGAGGATAACATGGAGGCTCACAGCGTGTTTGATTGTTAATCGTGGCACAGAGGCTTTAACTGCTAATGCTCTCACTGCAAACCTGCAGAAAAACACCAGGAACATGGAGTCTTTTTTTTTTTTTTTCATTAATGGCTCTCTAATACTGGCGTGGGGTACACTGCCGCTTTCTCTCCTTCTCTTCGTAGACATTCCAGAATGTGTTGGGATATTAAACATTTCCTGTCATAGTGAGGATTAGGACAGGAGCCTTTGGGCAACTGTGCAGCCTGGATTTTCAGTATTCAATTACTCTATCGACATGGTTTGACAAAAGTCTTTGTATAAAACAACCTAAAATAAACTTTATTTGTTTATTGTCCTTTTTTTTTAGATTTATTTCATTATTTTTGAAGTTAAACTGTGTGCGTTTTCAGCTTTCATGTGTGGGGGAGTTTCCATATGTATATGGTGTGGATGTTTTGGCTGCGGAGTAGTTTGCACCACACTGAAGAATGATGTGTGGCATTCCTATCAGTCTCTCAGCGTGGACATGAATGCTCCCACTGACAGCAGAATCAGAGTTCACTCCCTGGTGCAGCATCCCGCTGTGCTGGGCAGCTCCTATCTGTCCCCCCTCTCACTTCGCAAGCTCGTCACAGAAAACTCACGACACAGAAAATTCACAGAACAAACAACCACTTTAACATCTCAGAGTCGGAGAGGGCTTTGTCTTCTCCTTGCATTTAACCGAATTTCAATCAAACGACGGCTGGGTTTCATCTTTGGAAATTATCGGCACGCGTTCCACACCTCGCTGTTTATTTTTCGTGTTATTTTTTTTTATTCCCCTGTTTTTTCTCCTCCTTTCCTGTAATTGAAAAAAAAATCAACACAAAGAGACTCTCTATCGAGATGGAAATGAGAATATGATATTGTAAGTTACACACGGCATCTGTTTGCTCGAGATATGCTTGTGCATTGGAATGTGCAAGCTATTTCTTCAAGTGCCTGGCATTGATGGCCTCGCGGTTGCTGTAAAGATTGACAAAAATTCTCTGATTCGCAGTAAATGGGCTGCGGTGGCGAGGTGCCAAGTCTGTAATGGAATCCTGCAGCGTTCAGCAGTCCCGACAGGAGCTCGCGTCCATCCCAATCCCATAACCTATCCCGACAGCACACATTTTCCCATTACAGGCAGTGGAAAAGCCATCCACACTCAAACTGGTTGCTGTCATTGTGGGATATACAGCGTGTTTGGCTGGTTGAAGGAGGCAGTATATTTAGGGGTCATGGGAGTGAAGCTGTGCATGGCTGGGCAATAGGTATGAAACCAGAAGTGTGTTTTGTTGTTGGCCTTGTTTCATTTAGCAGCACAGCAGGTGTTGGAAAAAGGTACAGGCAAGGGCATCGAGGTTAGGCATTTCAGCCATCCTTACCTGAAGATTTAAGCTTGACGCCTGCTTTTTCTCTCTGGTCTTTTTTTCATTTTTAATATTCCATTTGAAGTAGACCTCTTGACCTTTCATCGCCACGATGAATTTTGCACATGTAAAAAACAAACAAACAAGCAAATTGGCGTTCTTTCAGCTGAAGAGGTGCACTTTAACAGGCAATCATCTCTCAAGCACGCAGCACGTTTTCAACAAATCCCAGTAATATGATGCTGCAAGATACTTTTCAAATGATTCTTTGAAGCAGCATTCATGGCCATTGCATTTGCGTGAAACCATTTGGGCTGAATTCCTCATTATTGCATGACAGGGACACCTGCTGGGAGAGGAAAGAAAACAACGGCACTTGCTGAAGCCCAGCGAAAGGAGCTCAGTGGCAGAATTTCTAGAAATATAGAGGAGGAGGGGGGGAAAAGGGAACGGGAAGCATTTCTCTTGTTGAATCAAAGTGGGAAATGCATGGAGGGCCTGTTGTAGGGTGTCCTTATGATAAGGAGACGTGATAGGGAAAGTGGGAAGTCTGTGAGCTGGATAGGTATGGTGGATAGAGATTTTATTGCTGTTTTGATGAAGGAAGTTCACAAAGTTTTGTGAGGAACTTTTTTTTTCTGTTTTGCAGTTTTATGAAAGTGTTGTGTGTTTTGGAATGACAAGGATGTGTGTCTGTGTGTATTTGAGGAGGGCCTTTGGGCTGTGTGAGTGGGCCGGGCCTCCACACACACGCACACACACACGTACATGGGATCAGAGGCAGAGCGGCTCTCACCCCTGCCTCCCTTTGATCTGTGTCCCCAGGCCTGCCTGCCCGCGCGGCGCTGCACCGTACCACGCACGCTGACACCATGCTCACCAGCGACTCCCCACAACTGTCTGAGAGAGATAAGCCAGGGGAGACTCCAAACTGTGCTGCTGCTCTTCCATTAGCTAGCGCAGACGCTTCTTTTAAAAATGGGATGAATTATTTTTAAGAAGCAAGCTCTGCCGTTGCCAAAAAAAAAAAAATGGAGAGGGGAAAATGTACGGAACAATCTGGAGCTCTGGCTTCATTCCGCCTCCCTCCCTGACTTCTAACAAGACATTCTGCACCTGAATACCAATGAGAGGGGGAGATTCATGTAGTCCCCCACATTATTAAAACTTGGGCATTAAGCCTCTCACCGGGCACTGTGTCAGCTGGCAGGCTCCACTGACAACAAATCAAAGGGGATGAGCACATAGCCTGCATTCATAGCTCAGCCACTCGCAGAGCAAGTGGGGGAATACATACTGGTTAATTAGAACTCCCATTAAAACAAATACTGTTTCAATTTGGCAAGTATAAAAAAAGATGTAAGAGGCTTTCAGAAAAAAGAGACCTGCTGTCGGCAGTTGCCAAGAAAATCCAGGGACTGTAAATCATATCCACTGGCTATACTGTTTCTGCACAGATTATTAGTGTTTTTTGTTGTTTTGCAACACTTTTGAACTCTGAGGAAAGATTTTCTGTCTGCGACACCGAAGACGTACCTCTGCGTGCGCTGGCCTTCTGCTTTGTGACAATACATCTTGTTTTTGTTTTCGCCGCTTGCAGACGAGTGTGACGTGACTAATAATTTTCTTGCTCAGCTTAAACTTGATGCTTTGTGACAAAAAAAAAATGCTGTATAAGGAGCCACCTTTGCAGCATGCATGCAAACCTCGTTTTTTTCCCCCTTGCAGCAGAGACAGTGCTTTAGCTCTCTAGCCCCTGTTTATCTGAGCCATTTGTTGCTCTCTCCATCTTTCAGTCTCTTGAGCAGCCATGTGCTGCCATTTTCTCTTACGTTCCAAAATATCTTTGGTTGGAGCTTGGTGTATTCATAATCTATTTTTCACCTACCAACCTTCCTTCTCTCCGCTTGGCTTTTTGTCATCCAGCGATGCCTTGCCAATAGTGCTTTGCTCTCTCCCTCTCCCTCTCTCTTTCTCTCTCCCCACCTTCCGCTCTTGCTCCAACTCTCTCCCCTGGAGAGGCAGCTCTTCTCCCTACGCCCAGATGAAAGGCTATGGCGGACAATAAAAATGCTATTTAAATGCAAGGGTGTTTGTGTGCGGGTGAGAGATATTTCCTGCTGAAAGTGAGCTGCTGCATCCTGATAAATAGTAAATATAAGGGAATGTGATTTACATTTATCTTGCAGAGGCAGCCAATATGAATTTCAGTAAATCCTAGAAGATGGGGATTTAAGGAGGAAAAATGACTGAGACTGATTCACATGCTGTGTGTCCCACGCAGTTGAAATGCCTATAAGGTGGAGAGCGGCACTGCCTTTATGAAAGTATAGGCACAAATATCGATCCTATCTAAAATAGCTATTGCACACGGGTGTACGCAGTGTCACATGCTCATCTGGCGGGGATTTCCTTCCTCATACACAGACAATTTGAAGGTTACTTGTATCAT